AAAGCCTACAAAGAAATACTAACTACTTTCTCCAGATACTCCCAGACCCCCTTCAGCTCTAATTTGGGGGTGGTTAGACCCCAGTTTATGCATTCTTCTCCTTAGTTTTATTTCTAATTTTTCTCACATCAGTCTTCTACTTTTTATCATTCCCTGGGCTACATGAAGAAACAAGATATCAGAACCTTTCTTAAATAATTGATGAATCAAAATAAAACAAAACAAAATCATAAAAAAAAATCATTACATAAAATAAAAAGTACAAAAAAATAATTCCTCTCCATATACCAACCATAGATGTTTTTTTGTTTTCTTTCCTTTTTTTTGGCACTACCTCTGATCATGAATTTCCACAGTTATGACCAGTTTCTTTATCTAGGATATATTTTTCAGAATTTTCAGGAGTGTCTTTTCTTTCTTTTTCTTTCTGGATGATGGGGACATCATCTAATTTGGGGGTGGATGTGGTAAGCCAATCCTGAAAATCCAAGCACAGCAAGAGTACAAATCACAGAGGAATCACAGGATCAAGACCCCTCAGGAATTCCCCAGACCCTCAAAACAGATCCAAACACCACTCATGAATCCCCTCAAGCACAGACCACATGGATAATAATATTTCCCAGACAGAAACTCCACAGCCCTGAAACTCACTCCCCTCCAAACATATTCCATTCTTCTTACCCCTTGTGTTCCACACTAGTAGCAATCCCCCTGATCCATGAAACAGTTATTTCCTCCTATCTCCTTCCATGGAATATTCCCCCCTTAGTTGTTTCATACTAGTAACCTTGGGAGCATTTTCCCACTGCTTTTTTCCCCTGTTTTCTCTGGATAAATATTTTCCCTTGTTTCATACTCTTCATAGAATGTTCCACTTATCTTCCAACCACAAGCTGGCCACTCCCCAGAATTTTGTATATAAGGAGCTTTGTTTTTCCTCTTCATTTGTTCCTCATCAGATCCTGCCCCAGCAATTCAGATAACTGATCACCCATTATTAGCCAGGTATTTGCCCATCAACATTTGGGATACCTTGATTTGTGAACAAGTATATTTAGACTAGTAACCATAAGACATATTAGACATACCATCCTCAAGAAATCTCCAAAGCCACACCTTTCCTTAAGAGTCCATACTCTTATATTTTCTTGTTATCAGAGAGGCAGCCCATTAAAGCATCCATCCCTCTCAAGCTCTATTCCTCCCAAGAGTAGTTCCACAACGCATCATTGGAACCCTCACGGATTCAAAGTTACACCTCTACGGACACATATCACTAAGCCAATACCCAGTCAAGCACATGTCACAACCCTCAAATCACCTCTCAGTTATGCTTATACACAGCTCACGTATACACATAATTTCCCACCCCTCTTTATCTCCACTGCATAAATTAGTTTGGTTTTATTTGTCACCTCATGCACTCCCTTTGCAGGCTGCGCAGTCTTGATTGAATTACTTTTCCCACAGTTTATTAATTTTCTCACCTCACTTATGACAACAGCTGAATTTTTCCCACATTTTCTTGCCTCATTTGACACTTTCTCACATTATTTACGCACTGCAGCACAGCCTTTGACATTAATTGTACACAGCCTCACTGGTTAATTTCCCTCACTTGCATGATCAGACTAGCTAAATTCACTCATTTGTACCTACAGGCCAGCTAAAATCACTCTTTCTTGTCTGCCCTGAAGCTAAATTCTCTCACATTTGTCTATAAAAGGAGGCTCTCTTCCCCCCATTTGTTGTCTCCTCACTCAGTTCACAATTATCAGTTCACTCATCTACACAGTTCATTCACTCAGTTCACTACTCATTCACCCAGTTCATCACTCAGCAGTCAATCAATATATAACTCACCAGTTACAAACAATTATATAAACCTTTCACCTGTTACACAACATAACAGTTTCTTTTATAAGCAATTATATATTCAACCTTTAAATTTCATCAAACAAAGTTTTACCGGAACCGACCAATCCTATCATGTTATTAAAACTTTCCAAGCTAATCTTGGGGGTCTTGTTTCTGATAGCATAGAAGGGCAGAGTTTGCACCTCCATTTTTCCCCTTCTCAATTCAGCAAAAGGGTTTCACAACCACTTTTGAGTCTTACAACGTGACAACAAAGCCTCCACACATGTAATAAAAATATAAACAAGCTAGAATATGCATGAAAATACTACAGTAACCTAGAATATTCTATATTCCAAGTGGTAACACATGTAGCAAGCCTCAGAAACCACCTCTTAGATATTCTGTGGCCCATTTCCAAGGAAATAGCTCCACGTAACAGACTAGCCCCTACCCACAGGCTCCCCAGGGATATTCCTGGTTCAGATAAATTTGTGCATGACCCCTTGGAGCTTCTATAATATTATCCCCAAGGTTTCAGCCCTTGTTGTGTCACCATGTGGGCGAAAATGGGCCCAAAAGCGCTCCCAAGACCTACTAAGCTCCCCTGAGCAACCCCTGAGGCCTTCCACAGGTATTTAAAGGGCCTTCTGACCGCCCAAATAATGATCCCCCAGCTTTACAATACCTTATAGAAATTTACTTACCATTTACAAGTCCCCTACACTTGTAATTAGCCTAGTTATTACTATTTTTGCTGTTATTAAAGCCTCAAGATTCTTCAAGAAACTCCCCAGTTATCACCCAGAACCCAAAATCAACAATTCTGAGCGCTCCCAACTGTCCAGTTTCTGCCCAGAAGATCCTCAAGACTCCTTAGGATTATTACTAGTAAGTAATAACCCTTTCTTGAAGATTTTCCCCTTTAAAATTATCTCCTGGGATTTAAACCACACCTGCTACAGGCCCCAGTGTGTCAGGTACCTAGATCCTCTGCTTTTTGCACGGTACCTCAGAGGGATTAAACCACCCCTGATTTATCAGGCCCCTCTGGTTTTATTTATATTAATTTTATTAATATAAATTGGCCACCTTTTTGGATTTAATCCATAAAATCCACGTAATTCTTTTGAATTACTTGTTCCATTATTTGTCCCAGAGTTTTCACCATAAAAACTCTTAGTTTTGCACCTTGTGTAGCTAGAAGACTTGTGTCTTGGCATCACATAGGCTGACACTTTAAACCCAAATAACCAACCTCACTGTTAGTGTTGCCCAGATTGCTTCACTTTTATTTTCAGTTTTTCATATTTATTGTAAAATAATTTTACAATAAATATGAAAAATAAAAAAGTGACTTGGGACTGATATTTCACAATAAATATGAAAAAATAATAATAAAAAAGTGACTTGGGACTCTGGGAGTGAAACTAGGTGAGAAATAGAGGGGAGGTACCCGTGGTACCTGCCAAAAGTACCACCTTTACCCGCCGGGAGGTGACAGGTGTGGTACATGGTATCTATTTTCTTGAAAAATTGAACAGGGACCCAAGTACAAACAAACAATCTTGTTGAAGTTTTATAAGGGCTCTGGACCGGCTGAAGTTGAGGACTTTTTGAGAAAAGGACACAAAAAAGGTTTTAAAGTCATTTTTTGGGAGAGGCTTGAGGAAAATGATTGAAAGAGCCAATAGTTTTATTCACTTGCAGCTAGCCAGGATTAAATAGACTAGATACATGTGGTTAAAAAGTGGTTGAAGGAAAAATGAATAAAAAAGGTTTTTGAATAAAAACTGAGGGAAGATAAAATGAGTTCTTGAAAATAACAAACCAGACAAAACATCTCATTCTCTTTTAGTTAAGCTAGATGGGTTAGTCAAGAGAAAACATTTTAAATCACAAATACTATGAGGTGGTAACCAGATTTTACTAAATCAAATAATGATAATAGAAAAAGAAAGAGGTTAGTCATAAAGACAAGAGTTGTTGATAAGGTTGCTATTGTAAGTTCCAATTAGACTACTAAATTGCATATCATTCAACAGAAAACTAGCTATGAAGAACCATAATTCAGTCTACTTCAAGCTGATTTAAGAAAGAGAAAAGGTAGAAAAAAGTAAGGAAAAAAGGGAGTGATTTTGGGGAAGAGTAGGTAGAAGAGGTGAAAACTCAACAGATCTCTAGTCCTTAACCTACTCTATTTTTACCTTCATCAGTGGGGGTTTTGATTATTATATTTTTTTGCTTCTTCTAAGTGATTAGTAATGCTGGCGGTGTGGAACTTCTGAAAAACCAGAACAGAGCTTAGAGGGGAAATAGACAACTTCACTACTAGTAATGTAAGTTGAGGCTATGAGTGCTGATGAGGCTGCCCTCTGAGACTAATGCTGAGGAGAGAGGGTTACACTAAGAAAATAAGAAAGAGGTGTGGCTAATTTTCTAACTGATTCTTAGGCTGCTATAACTAATGAGTTTGTTCCTTATCAGTCCCACAGGGGAAGAAGTGAGAATATGAGAGTTGTAAATAAAGCAGAGCTCTAGGGACACTTTGTGTAATGGTATTTCTAGGGGGCAAAGCACCAAGCAGGCAAGGTCACTAAAATGAGTTCTGAAAAAGTAAAAGTAGATTTTATTTGAGGGGCACAATAATATCTGTAGGGTAGAAAATGCATAAAGGGTGTACAAAATGATAAGAAGACTGTATATATACTTCAAGGTACAAATGAGCACAGGTTACAGTCAGTCTGGCTATGGGAGCACAATGTACAAATGTAGCACAAGAGATGTGAAAAAGTAAACAATCAAAAAGGAGGATGAGTAAAGAAAAACAATCCCAAAAGATAAGGGGTGTGAAAGAGTGTACTACTGTTATCCTGAAGGCATATGAGAAAGCATAGTTGTAAGGAGTGTGTCTTGAGAAAATATATGTAGTAATGTAATGTGAAAAGAAGTACTTGTAAAGGAGTGTGGCTGATGTAATGAGAAGAGATATATGTAAGAAGATAGTACTTGTGAAAATCATGAGGTATGTAGTAAACTGTAAATATGTGCTGTATGTAGTTAATGTGTAATACTAAAGTAAATGTAAAGAATAATATCTGTAAAACTAGAACTGCAAATAACTAATGAACCAGCAAGAAATGAGATATGGCTTGAGTGAGTGACTATAGGTAAAAAAGGGTGTAGAATCTGAATAAGCAGTAATATTATAACAATTCCCAGTGAATGTACAGTAAAATAATAGATGATATGGAAAGGTATGGGTTACCACAGCGGTGGAGGCAAAAGAGTGCTCTGGATAGCTGTATCACTCCATCAGAAAACTGAACCCCATACAATCTGTGCAATCTATACTGGTGATCTCAAGGTATCTGAGCAAAAAATAATTGATAAATTTATAAGCTATCCTTCCAATCGGCTCAGATACAATGGGTTATGCATTCACCAGAGGTTTCTTCTGTTTTTGTTTTCCTTTGTAACAACAATCTGATTTAGATTGTTTGATCAATCAAACTTATCTCTCCAAATACCCAGCCTTGACCAAGCTCAAACGACAACTCCAAGTTCCTAAGGCATATGGTGCCCTTGGTCTTGCCGGACTCTTCTCAATCTTTGTCTTCTTCAACCTCTTTGGTGGATTCTTGACCACCACCCTTGGTTGGGGTTTACCAGCTTACTTTTCCATCCAGGCCCTGCAATCTCCCAGCTCTGGTGATGATGTCCAGTGGCTAACTTACTGGAACATTGTAAGTCAACCTTTGCATTGCCTTAGATATCTACCAAACCTTCTCACTAATCTGCCTTCTGCCCTTGCCTTGATTGATCTGTCCAGTTTGGTTCCTTCAACATAATCAAGACCTTTGCCAATACTATCCTGTACTGTTTACCATTCTGTATATCAAAACAGTTTCATTTCCCTCTCAAATCTATCTCTCATCACATCACTAATATTTGTTTTTTTACCCATCACTCCTCCATGACTAGCTCTAGTGAACCCAGTCACCCTCAATTCTCAGGCAACATTTTGCTAGACACTCAAGATTGACTGATAAAACTACAGAAGATGTTGACTAAGATGGGCCAATTGGAGACTGCTCCTGGAGCTATTAGGGCCTCTTTGGACGGAGCAACCCATCATGCTTGATATAGGGAGTACAAATTCCTGTTGAAAGACAAGCCATAGGAAACCGGGCTGATTGTTCCAAAAAAACTGCAATCAACTCTATGAGTAGACATAGGTCATCCTCCATCCCGCTAAATTATGTGGAAGACAGCCTCTCCAGATCTGTCTCTCAATCCCACAACCCGTCCATCTGTGCCCAGCCAAAAGCAGGCTCTCCCGCCCAACAAAGAGCCAGAAACATGCTTTTTTTGATATGGGAGAAGACTGAGAGAAAACTGATGATAAATATGAACTATTCAAAGTGTCTTTGCCCTCATCCTTAACCTTCATTTAAGAGCACAAATGGGTCAAGATCACTTTGACTTGTGAAGAGCACAAGATGTGATGCTTGTTACATGACTTCTTCTATGCTTCCTGAGGTATGAAAGATGTTGATGGGTCACCTGATTGAGATCAAACTGTTGGATTTTTACCTTAATTTGACTGAAGACTCTGAGTAGCTTGGTAGATGTGCTGGATTCTCATGAGGAACTGATTTGAGGAGGGAGAAATGACCTCGTTATATAGGAAATTGTGAGGGATTTCTGCTAGTGAGGAAGTCCTGTGAGGGATTTATGCTGGTGTGACTTCTTCTTTAAGGGATTTTTACTGCTTGGAAACTCCTATTGAGCCATTTTTGCTGGTGTGTCATGGATCTGCACTGCCCCATACAGGAAATCATGTTGTGAGAACTCCTTTGGGAATGGTGGCAGTCCTGTGAGGGGGAAATAACAAATATGATATTGCACTTGTTTAATATATATTGTTACGGGTGATTTGAAAGACCTGCCCCTCTATTGTACTACACAAGAATTCTGACAACAAGAATTTATATATTGATGTGCCAAAACCTTTATAGAGAAACCTTTATGTAGTAGTCTCTATCAGACCTAGATCAATTGATATATATGAAATGCTATGAGACAAGCTATCTAAGAACCTGATTAAGATCACAGGTGTTGAAGAAGGGGGGGGGGGTTGATGATCATGATCACCAGCTGGCCAGGCTGTGTGATGATGAGATACTTGTTTGAGATCACCCCTATGAATGGGTTGAAATCTCCAAGTGAGATATATGTTGATGCTGGGATTGCATGAGGAACTTCAACTGAGGGGGGCAAAAAGGCCTGCTTATATAGTCTATTTACACACTGGCTGGCTTGTGGTTCTAGCCCTAACTGATAATCTCAAAAATGGCTAGATTGTGGTTATAGCCCTAACCATTTACCTAGCTCTAAATCTATACTATGCACTACCAATGTACCACTATGCTTTGTAATCATGTTCTATCATAACCTTAACATCTAAATAACTTCTGACTGGGCCGAGCTAGCCTAGTGGTCCCAGTGATTGACTATAGGTTAAATGTGATGTAGAATTCAAATATGCAATAATAAATCCAATAATAAATCTCCTTATCAAAGATGATTCAAGAATTTATGTACTTTTATACTTGAAACACATTTGGCACACTACAACGTGTGTTGCAGAATCTTCTTTCTATGTTGAGGCATCTTTGCTGGTGTGTTGTGAAAATACATGTGATTCAAAGCATGTGACTGGTGATTTCATGTGAGAATACATGTGATCCAAAGCATGTGATCATGCATGTGGCTAAACATATGATCACCTATGCCTGTACAAACAAAATTATAACTAATCACTTATATATAAACCTATGCTAGGTACTACACAGGAAAAAATACACTAGAACCTTTTTTTATCCAAATAAATTTTGACTGAGTGGAGCTAGCCTAGAGGTTCAAGTGAGTGACTATGGGTTAAATGACCTGTAGAATCTATTGAAGCAATAATCACACCAATAACATAGCCTATTATCAAGATTGGATCATCAAATTATGCAATTTGGTACTTGAAACACATTTGGCACACTACACTCTCTATCACAAGGCCTTGAAACCATTGGTTGCCAGTACTGCATCCAAGACCAGTGCTCCCCCTCAATAGTAACAATCCTGTTTGTCTTCTCTCCTACCTAATCAAACTTATCATCATCAAAAAGACTCTAGCCTTTTAATGCTTACACACAGACTGTCCTCAACATATATATATGTGTTCCTAATTCTTAATTATTAGTGTTTTACAACACCAATAACCTTACAACTCAGCTACCATCAGGTCTTGATAGATTTACTTTACAGATTAAGGTATTTACACTTAAAACTCTTGCATGAAGAATTCCCCCTCTCAAATATAGATAATTCTGGGCCTTGAGTGTAGAAGCAGAATTGTTGTTAATACTCATCATCAATTATGAAGCCCACACACCCAAGTGAGTTGAGATTTCCTCACCTTGTATGCCTATATTTCTGGGGTTTTTAGAGGATCCACTCCCAAAAACCCCTGGGTTAAATTTTTGTTTTTGTTATTACTTTTTTTTGTTTGGGGATCAACTCCCAAACCTGTTGAAGGTTTTGGAGGTCTGATTCCCAATTTGGGGCTTGGTCACCCTGAGGACTGTATGCAGCCAGCCAGTCCTCTAGAGATGTCCCAGAAGTTTGGGCGTCTGAACTCGAATTTCTGGGAGTCAATTAACCAAGGCCCTAATTAGAGCAACCACATTGGTTGCTGGATTAAGGCCGGATTAATAGCATCACTACTCCGAGCTAGTCCAAGCCCTCATCTGCATTGGGTTTCAGTTAATCAGACTAAACTAATCCTGGAGTAGGATTTGAGCTAAGCAGGAGTCAAGTTACTCCTTGCTAATCCAGGGATTAAGAACCAATTGGCACACTCAACATGCCTGTGACCCCGGCTACTCCCAGGTTTACACCACACCAATGTGGTGGCCTACCCGGAGTAGCACTAATCCGGGATTAAGCTACTCCACTACTCCTGAAGTTAGAGCATCTCCACCGCGGGCCCTATGTAGGGGCCCTATCCCACATATAGGGCCCACGAGTCCCAAAACCACAGCCACCGCGGGCCCTATGTGGGGCCCTATAATAGGGACCAGGGTCAAAAGTCCCTATCGAGCTGTATATATACAGACTCAATAGGGCCCCGCTGATCGGTCCCATCCCATGTGAACCACTCGATAGGGCCCCGCTGATCGGTCCCATCCCATGTGGACCTTCCGACATTGGAAGGTTTCACACATCCTCAAGCACACTACAACTCCGACTGATCGGCTTTCACCGACTTTTAAGGCCGATACACCCGCTAGCGGTGGAAAAAAAAAACCGGCTCGGTCACTATCCAATTTTTTCGGTCCCTATTGGAGGCATATAGGGCCCCGCAAATAGGGCCCGCGGTGGAGATGCTCTTAGTCTTACACCCGCACCAATGTGGTTGCTCTAAACAAATGAGATGATCAAAGTTTTTTTTTTTTTTTTTTTTTTGGCCAAGCACATACATTATTCAGCCTCTGGAATACAGAACGCCTGTGATCCAAGCTACATCTTTATCTCTTCCATTTTCATCTTGCCAAACCAATCCTGTTTTGCACAAACAATAACATACAGACATTTGATCATCAGGGACAAAAGGTGAAAATTTGAGGCTTATAATTTTTTTTTATTTATACCATCAAGGAGTGAATATATGATGTGAAGTATGTATATGAGGGAGAGATACAAAATCTATAATGTACTATATATTAAAAAAAAATTCTTATGTAAACAAAAACACTCTATGATGATAATGATGATGAGTAAAAACAAAAACTCTATCAAAAAAAAAAAAAAAAAAAAAAAAAAAGAACAGGATGAGATGTAGAAAGAGGAAGGATGATTATATGTACATAAAAGAACGGCCACCACACGAGCCCAGTCTAGCCCAAGTGTCTTGTGAGTCCCAAACAAAAAGGAAAAGAAGGAAGAAATAATTTACAAAAGAAGAAGGGAAGAAAAAGAAGTGTTGCTAAGAAGGACACGAAGATTGATAAACGAGAGCGACGAACAAACAAACAGAGAGAGAAAAGGAGGGTGTAGAATGACATGAACGATGAACGATAAAAAATCAAAGACGATGATGGGGGAAACATACGAGGATGGATGAATTAAGATGATCGATTAAGTTGAGCGGGGTTTTTTGTTTTTGTTTTTGGTGGTTCAGAATATTACAAGTATATGAATAAAGAAATAAATGTGTAAACTAAAAGGTTCTATGTAAGAGACGAGTACATTAATCGGACCTTCTTCTTCATCATCCTACATCTTCTGCTTTAAGGACAGTGTATGAAAGATTTGAAACGCATGAAAGAACAGAATCGAAAAAGAAAAGAAAAAAGAATAGCACCAGTCGTGTGATCTCCTTCTTCTCTATTCTCTATTACTGAATGAATGATTATTTCTAAAAGAGCGTCTTCGCCAGTCTTGATCGCCTCCTTATCGATGAACCCCCATTCCCAGAAGGTGATCCAAGCACCACAAAACAAACAAACTCCACAGTCTTTCGAGATCGAGTCCCGAAGCCAGAATCCTTGTCGACATCCTCCCTCCCCCCCTCCCAGAAAAAAAAAACATACATACTCTAAAAATGACGTTCATCGCTTTCTGTTATTAACATCGTGTGTGCCCTTGTTGTGTGTTTCGCGAGTTTGAGTGAGAGGGAGGTCGAGAAGGATTGAAGACGGGGTGAAGAACAAGACAGGGGAGATTCGAAAGGACGAAGAAAACGATACCGAAAAGAAAGAAAAAAAAAACCCCAATACAGGAAGCCGAACCGCGGAGCAAAAAGATAAAAGGGGTGCAAGAGGTGACTACCACACAGTGAGAGAGAGAGAGCAAGAGAGTGTTTGCATAAGGATTATCTCGGACTGATGATGTTGAGGATCGGCGGGTCGGTGGTAGAGGGCAGTGCGCCTTCCTCGAGCTCTCTAGCCGAGCCGGAGAGATTGAACGCGCGTTGTTTGGAGAGGAGGGTGTTGATCTGGAGCGGATGGGCGGAGGAGAAGTTGATCTTGTCGAGCGAGCCCGAGCTCGAAAGCCCGTCCCGATCTTCCTGGCCTGGCGCTTCCTCTTGATCCATCAGCTTCTTCTTATCATGATGATGATGATGATAACTATTCCGATTATCTTCCTCGTCTTCGTCTTCGGCTTGATGGTTCATTCGATCTTGTAGAGGATGGTATGTGTGACTAGGAATGATCAACACATCATCCGCCTTCTTGTTCGAATATTTCCGCTCCAGCTCGATCTTGGCGTAGTATGCCCCTCCGATTAAGGTGATCAGGATCCCGAGTAAGTTCATGGGAGTGATCACCAGTTTGAAGATCAAGATGGCCGAGAGGATCGTCAAGACTTGTTTGACATTAGCTGTAAAAAAAACAAACTCAAGTCAGCATTATTATTATTTTTTATGGAGGGTTGGAGATGTTACTGACCAGCCACGGTCATCGTCAGTGCGCTAGTTTTCTTATTGGCAGTAAAGCTGACGACGTTCAAGCCAAAGGCGATGATTCCATTGATGATGAGAGCAAAGACCTTACGGCGATCGAAGTGTTGTTGATGAGCGAAATGATGGAGGCTCTCGATCTCGCCGGTGAGATAGGCGTAGAGTAGACATTGGATGAAGGCGAGCGGGGACATGCGCATGAGCAAGTCGAGCGGATTGAGTCTCAGTCTGCCGACTTGGATCACATTGGTGACGACGGTCTTGAAGGAGGCTAGGATGGTACCTAGTAAGGTCAAGAGTAGGCCGGGTAAGGTCCAGCCGTAGTCGCCATAGGTCGATAGTCCGACCCCTAGGACGACGATGAAGAGTGAAAGATAGGTTTCGAATGGGTAGGATTTGTTGAAGTAGATGATTGAGAGGATGATGGTGAAGAGTGGGGTGGTAGCTCTGACGACTTGATGGAACTGAGAAGAGAGGAATCAGTACATGAATTTTTACTTAGATTTTGAATAATCACTTACTGGTACGGTGACGAGATGTAGACTGAGGTTGGAGACAGCGATATTGACGGTGTAGAGGATGCTGAAGGCGATGAGGATGATGTTATGATTTCTTGAGAGTCTTGCGGCTGAGAAGAGTCCTTGGGCATGGGCTAGTTGAGATCCGATGGTTCCGGCTAGGGTGTGGATGGCAGTGAGTGTCCATGGGAATGGGAATGAGATGAGGACTCGTTTGTTGAAGATGGTGAGGCCGAGGTTGAAGGCGAAGTAGTAGATCAACCAGGCCGTTGGTGAGTCACATCTTGTGAGTAGTAGTGATCGATTGTTGTTTGGTTGAGATCTCAGTTTGAGTGTTGGTTTTGATGATGATGATGGTTTTGATTTGGTTAGTGATGTTGTTCCAGTTAAGATGTTGTTGCTGTTGTTGGTGATGGTGATTGGTTGTTGTTGTTGTTGAGATGATGAGAAAGTGATAGACATTTGCAGTGGTTAAATAGGGAAGTTGATTGTTGTTGGTTGTTGTTGTTGTTTTTGTTTTTGCTGTGGCTGAAACATCACCTCACTGGCACAACATAGCATCTGATCATTCAGCTCATCATCTTCATCACTTGAAACCAGCTTCACCACGTCATTCCCCCAGTACTACATATGTACACGCACAGCCTCTGATTCACTCATCAAAAACATACACCTCATCATCTTCATCACCCACTACATCTCATCAATCATTCTCTCGAATTCTCAAATCACACACACACACAAGACTGATCTTGTTGTTTGATATTTTCTGTTTGTCTAGATATGTTTTTTTTAGGAATTGACATGGTGGTTCTCAGAAAAAAAAAGGAAAAGATTGCTTAAGAAAGGAAGAAAAAGACAAGTAAAGCAAAAAAAAGAAAATGAAAATGAATTGATAAACAGAGCCAACAAAAAGAGTTCAATTTGATGAATGAATTTTTTTTTTCAGAGTAGAGCTATAGAGAGAGAGAGAGAAGAAAAGAAAAGAAAAGGATCAAGCCCTAGATTGTCTCCGATTCTTCCTCTTCCTACTAGCCCCCGCCTTCTTCTTTTTACCAGCCAAGAATGCCTTAGCATCCTTATGATTCCTGCCCAAGAAGTCCTCCTCCTTGACCTTATAGACACGCACGATCCAGTTCTCAGACGTAAAGGCTTCCTCCAAGGTATCCAAACTCGGCCCAACTTGGGGTAATACTTGTCCTCTCACTCGGTCTTGTGCTCGTTGGCCTCCAAATAGTTTATCAAAGTCATAATAACTCTAAAGAAAGAAAGAAAAAAACAATTATTAGTTGACAGAGCTTCATTTTTTTTTTTTTGCAGAGTTTACTATACTGACCATCTTATACATCAAACAATTCTTCATCGTACTAGACGCTTCATCATCCACCTTATATTCTCCTCTAGCGCTAAAGAAGGAGCTTTCCTGGACCTCACTCGGCCAAACCCCTTCCGCAATCCTGACCATCCACAAGAACTTATTGATATCATCCCCACTAAAGCCCAACAGACCACCAAAGATCACGAGCACATAGTCCACATCATGTTTACGCAGGATTGGGTACGAGACTTCTTCCTTGGATGCCATCGCCTTTCCGACTGTCGCGATACTGTTGGTGACATCCATCATCAGTCTTGTGTCAAGCTCAATCGAATGATTTGAGAGTGAGAGCTACATACTGGGTGTTATTCCACGTGTTATTATCAACCAACGTCGTCCGGTCGGCCATCCCAGCGATCTGATATCCATAGTCCCACCAGCTCATAATCTTCGCATCCTTCTTAGTATTCATCCTCAACCAATAATAAGCTTCCCGGAAATCGTCGATGATATTAGTAGATCCATCCGGATTCTTGGATGCCAGGACGACCGAAGGTGATGAATAGGCAGTCGAGGTAACCCAAGTACAATGCAACACAAACAGGAGTAACATAAACGTGAAGGCTGAGACCAATGCCAATCGAGTATCTGAACCATAGATCGCAGAGATACATGGTACTTGGGTGTAAGCAGAGGAGGCACTAGAGGCACTCGACCGAGTCGACCGAGTCGATTTCACCGATCCCACAGAGGATACAGATGAGATCGAGCTGGCAGCAGAGTGTCCTTTCTTTGGTTTACGAGCGCTACCGGGGGCCGAGCCGGATGAGGATGCGCTACTGCCGAATGACTCGATGGGTGAGCTAGATTCGATCGAACTAGTCGTCGATGGCGTCCCAAAATCCACGCTATCCGGTTGGGCAGGGTCGAGGTAAAGGTCAAAGATTGATGAGACGATCATCGCCGCAGCAATACACACGATCGGAGTCAGAGTCAACATCAATCGAACCATCACTCCAGCAAAGTAACTACCGAGGACCGAATAGATGATAACAAAGACGTGTTCATCTCGTAATTCCCGGAAGCAGAGATAAACTCCTGCTGGGAAGAGGTAGATCAGCATCTGCAGGTCGAAGAAGAAGCTCGTCCATGCTGTCGGTTGGTGCTCGGAGACGGAGGCAATGATCGGGATGTGAATCTTGGCATAACCGGTATCGAAGAGTGAGTAAAATCGACCGGTCCATGGCGCAATCCATCCTTGTTTGGTCATGAAGACTAAAGCTCCAAAGGCCAGTACACCAAAGCTAGTCACTCCGATTTGCAGGAGCAATTTGAATTGTTTACTCGACACGTGACTTCGAACCAGTTCGACAAAGGCCACAAGTTGTAAGAGGCCAAAGACTCCAAGAGCAGCCATGTGTTCAGAAGTTCGGATCGGTTGAAAACCAACAAAAGGTACTTGCATACTCGCCAGAGTTCCGATAGCGTAGAAGCTGGAATAAGCCACGTAAAGCTTGTTGGTGAACCGACCCATGAGGATAAGGACAAATGCATGTAAGGGGAGCATGTTGGTGATGAATGCATAACCTCCCCAAGCAGCCACCATGTAGAAGTAGAAGAGCGCAGCCATCGATCCGTAGAGAGCAGAGCCTTGCTTCAATGCTTTGATCCAGAGGTAAAATGTGGTCATGAGGATGAAGATCGCAATAGCTTCGTTATCGTACGAGCCTGCGACTGATCGAGAGATGTAACCAGGGGCGATACCGATAAAGAGAGCAGCCCACAGCCCAGTGCCTTCGCCGGTTTCACCCACCGTTTTGGTTTGAGCAGCGCCTTTCGAGTTAGTCTTTTGGCCCAATTCTCTGGCAAATAAGTAGGTAGCATAGGCCGTCAAGCCAGAGAAACCGGGGGCGAGTAGCACACAGATGTTGCGAATGTCGATCGGGATCTGAGTGAGTGGATAGTAGAATAGTCTCAGTGATCTTTTTGGAATGGCTGTTCAGTCACAATCAACACGAAGAAATCGGAGCAATTTTTTTTTCTTGTTGTGGTTACAAACATTGAAGAGTCGAAAGACGTTCCAAATCAGGCCACTGGTGACCATCAACCCAGGATAAATCGTCCCACCGACGACCCGACCAAGAGGGTACCAAGCCGTTTGATCGAACCAATTCCAGAATGCATGAAAGCCTTGTTCGGTCAAGATTTTTGAAGCACGACTGGAAAAAACAAGCGGTAATCAGTACGGATAAGTCGGGGGAGGCAAGTCAAGTGATGAAGAGAGGGATATTCGGACTGACTAGTTGAACCAGGGATCGAATTCATGGATGATCGACTCATGCCGAATGACAGCAAACAGTCGAGAGGAAACCGCCGCGCCAGCAATCAGACAAACGATCACCAACCGAAGGAAAGCCAAGACATTCCGATTGGTTTGAGGGGTTAGAGAGATCAGAGGGTAGATCGTATTCAAGGACATGATCGAGCGAGATCGATCTGGAAAAGATCACGCGTCAGATACCTCAAATAACTCCCATCAAACTATGGGTGGGTTCCGCGCCCACCAATTCGAAATCAATTTCTAAAAGCTATGGGGTTGAAATTAAACTCACTTGAAATCTATCCTTGGCTCACTCCGCCAGAGCAGCCTAGCCAATCGAATCGACGAATAAATACAGCACTCTGGTGGACGCAGACGAACAGGCAGGGATCAGTTTCTGATTATGAATGTGCTGGATTTCTCTTCGGACTGACTGATTGTGGGTTGTACTTACGAATTCGAGCTCTTCTTCTGTGGATGGTGAGTCTGTCCGATCGAGAATTTGGAGAGAGCTTGATGACGATGTCCCAAGACTGTCATCTTATAGATATCACTGGCTTGGGATGTCACGGGGAGGGGGGGTGACATGTGTAATTTGGAACACAGCCCTGGGCTCACAAACACCGTACATAGTTGGTTTTCAAGCCCAATTCATTGACTACAATGTCATCAAACAACCAACAAACCATCTTATTCCCGGATATCCTCAGCTCACTCAAGAAATCAGGAAGAAGTTTGGAAAAATGTAACGCGAACGTAAGACTTCCTTTTTTTTTTTTTTCTTGTTACCCTTCAATCATTTTGACGGTGGATGTGAAAGGAGGCTTGGTTAACTAACTTTTCCTGCATTGCTTTATTGATTGATCGAGAATACATAGCTCAGCTTTTGTAGTCATACGTTAAACCTTCATACGCGAGAAGTTCCAAGGATCAACCAAGCCTTAAAGAACTCACAAGTAAGTAGCTCAGTTTCATTCGAACACAAAAATCAATCCTCAGTTGAACCGATCTAACCCGCCATATATGACTCCCTCATCATCCAGTTTTTCGAATTGGTTTCAGTCTCAGAAATCCGCGCGGCTCAGTATCAATTGACCAGTGAACTCGAACCTCAGATCAAAGAGCTTGTTAAAATGACCGAGAATGGCTTGGTGAAATTACAGAAACGTGAACAGATGCTTAGGGTCAATGTATGTGAAGCTCTTTTTTTTTATCAATCTCATTGACTTCATTGAAATATCTCTTTAATTTTTGTTCGTGACGGGGGGCGCTTCTCTTCGGACCGACCTACGTTAGATTTCTAAACGAAAAAGACTGATGATGGACGATGACGAAGATCTCAACGAAGAACAACAACCGCAAGAAGAAGAAGAAGAAGAGCAGTATTCAGACAATCAAGCAACAATCGATCGCAAGTTAGAACAACAGGAAACCCTCTTGCAACGGCTTCGATCTCAGAAAAACTCTCTCCTGAAAGAACTAGAGAAATTGGATCTGGAATTGAGCAGGAAATCTGGCCGAACTTGACATGCTCTTTCTTTTCAATTGCGCAGCTTTGACAACTCAAAATATTTTAACTTGGTTACAGTTTATGTAAATTGCCCACTTTCCTAGAACTTATTTTAATGCTGTGGGTATTTATGTATATCAGAGAATACTTGAGTGAATGTGTCCAACCGTAATTTTGTATTAGTGTCATTACAGGATCAGATCTTGAATGATCAAATCTTATCTTTTGGTTTAGGATAAACAGACGAAATAGAATACAATACCCTAGGAGAAGTACCATCTGTCAACATTTTTGACACTTATGAGACCTTATCCTCTTTATCTGTTTTCTTTCCAGTTGTGATTAGGCTCTCCTAGGCGACAACTAAACTGCTAGATCAATAGCAAATTGTCTGAAGATTTTTCACTCTTGTTTATTTTCTCTTGAATTTGATGCATGTCCGATAGTAAAGAAACAAAGAAAAATGGTATCGGGATTGACAGTGCCAATATCAAAGAACACTGACAACGTTTTGTTTTTTGGATTGTTCTTGTCGTTGTTATTTTTTTTTTTTCAAGTAAGAGTTTACAATTCACCAGCGGCTTTTCCAGGGCTTTCTTTCTTAGGTTTTGGGTCTTGACCTTTAGGAGGCGCGTGGGATTTAAAGAACTCAAAGAGGGCTTTATAGTTCATCTTACCCGAGTATTCTTCTCGATCGGTTTTCTCTTCCGAGCCTTTGAAGATCATCAGTGTTGGGAATTTCTCGACTCCATATTTCTCCTTTGCCGTGTCCGCACCAATCCTGAGAAGTCAGATCATTAGATGTACAAATGGAGATGGGATATGTTAGGAAGCTATCTGGAAACTGTTCAGTATTGTAAGGCTCTCTTACGCTGTTGGTGTTGCCGTGTATACGTCCATCTTCTTGTATACCACACTCGAAAGTGCTTTGAACAGCGGGGTAGTCTTGGTGGCTTCAGTGAACAAAACGACCAATGGTCGAGACTAAAAAAACGAAAAACAAATGGAAAAAAAAAAATCAGCATCACTGGTTGATCAAGGATAATTGTGCAGCAGTGGAATCAAACGGAATTTGTTGACTACCTACCGGTTTGGATTTAGAAATCAGTTTACTTAGTTCCTCTCCGGTCTTGATCTTCTTGGCGAAGTTGGGCATATGTTGGAGTGCAAATTCGACGACTGGTTTGGCTTTCCGTTCGCCTTGATATGGGGTGGGAACCGGGACACCTGGGAAGTATGCAAGAGTTGGAAAACCTAGGTCGTTGAAGAAATTATCGTCAATTTGCATCATCTTCCTCGGTTGTTCTACCAAACCCTTTTGGGATATGGAGTGGAATCTCCAAGTGTGTAGCTTACCCTTGACTTGGTAATCAGTGCTACATGCTGCCTTGTTTTCTGCTGCATCACAATCTACTGCCACTGTTTGATTGAAAAAAAAAGAAATTAGTACACGGAATAGACAACGGAACTGGGACTGGTGGCAGAACATGGCAATATAATTGTACGAATGTAAGAGTGATGAACTAACCAAAAGTGACTAGATCCTTGACGTTACTGGCTGCTTTTTGATACTCTGGAACAGAGGTTTCTACAATGCTATGATCGAACAAACC